TTGTGCAATGGTTCGATCCTACGACTATCTATACAGACATACTGCCATAAGTTAGATTGTACATACATTTATATTAATCTTAGCTCGTGTGTAAATACATCAGACACTCATAAATGATTCGAATGCAACATCATTTCAGAGAATGATGGATTCGAACCGGACTTCTTTAGGTCGAGTTTCGTTGGCGGTTGCTTAGTATTCACTATGCAGGGCCTGCATGTTCTCTTGACGGTTTCACGAAGAAACTGTTGTTGACACACATATAATTAGTGATATATCACAGTGGACAATGCTTTCAACTCCCGGTATGTATATCTCTGTGGACGGAAAGGATCACAAATGTTCACTGAACTGGACGCACCAAATAGTATTTCATCATCTCAAACAAATTCACAACTCGTGTATCATGAGTTCATGGCCAAACCATCGTCAATTCCCACAAACTTTTCTGTACTTCAGCCTTTTTCCTCCACTATGCTCCGCACACACAGCGGTATGGACGGATGTATGCTAACTTATGTGCAAATAGACTTTGGTGAAGATTTACCTATATACTCATAAATATGTAATTTCATAGATCTATTATATGCCTCGTTGTCGTCAATGAAAGTCTGAATGGTCAGGCTGCCAAGATTGTACTTTGTATCACAGATAATATCAACGCTTAAAGGGAGGGGCGTCATCGTTGCCAGATCTCGAGTGAGAGAGGAAGGGAATTTATGTTTGAAAATACGTAATATTATAAATCCACCTCAGGTTCTAGTTTGTTTTAATATATATTTCTATTATATTTAAAATTTAAAATTTATAAACTGAATTTTTTCATGAAGCTGCAAAACCAGCTTAAATTAAGTTTGTACACTTTTACTTTACAAACGTTTTCGTTTCTGATTTCAACTTTGAACTACGCATCTGTACAATTCTGGTTGCAAGTGGACGAAATTATACAAAATAATATATACATACATACATATATATATATATATATATATATATATATATATATATATATATATATATATATATATACACATAAATCCCACATAAATCTCCTTCCCACTCTCATTTCTCTCCCACAAGTCCTCCCGCGAGCAGCGAAGGGCGCCCTCGACGTCCTCCCTTCCTCCTCAGTCCTCCGATCTTGTGGGTCCTCCTCCCTAAGGCCACGGCGCGTCGGGCAGCCACTCGAAGGGCGGCAGTCTGCTGCTGTCTTCTGGCGGTCTGATTTTGCTTTGAATGTGTTTCCTTTTGCGCACCGATTCTTTATTTGAGGTATCTGTTAGAGGGATGGGTTTACTCATTAGAATTATTGTTATCATACATTTTTGATAGTGAGAATACCAATATAGTTGATGATAATAAAATATTGCTACTACTACTAGCACTGTACTAGTGCTACTGTTGATAATATTAGTGTTACTGACAATAATGATAATGATTATAATAACATAGCTAATGATAGTGATAAACTGTATTTAAGTGACATTGGTTATATCAAAGATAAGAAAAGTAATAATCAGAAAATGATAATAGTGATGATAATAATAGTAATGAGGATGATAACGATGATGAATAACAATGACAACAATGATAACTTCATTAACGTTCCCCAACACAATGATACATCCACACAAGGTCTCCCATACTAACTTAGCCGCCCAGTTGGTTCTGCCGTGCACATTCGCATTGGCGCTGTTGGACCGCGTGGGCCCCGTCGCGAAGGAGCCCGCGGCCATGCTCGAGGCGTTGGCGCTCGGGTAAGTGTGCGTCCTCACGCCTATCACGTTGGACCCCCCCGCCTGCACGGACACTAGAGATCCTGGCATGCTGCGGCTAACAGCTCCTGCAGGGAAAGAGGGTCCTTTGGTATGATAACGATGTAGCTGTCCTGGAATTAAGGGTCTGCTGTTTGGTTCGATTTTTTTATATGTTATGCAAGAGTACAGTTCGTAATTCGTTGGGAAAGTGACGAGATAATAGACATCTATTTAGCAAGATAGAGGAAAGGTTTATGAGGTTTACAGAACAACAATATGTACGGGTATAGGAATGTATGTATGTATATGTATGTGTATATATACATACATTCACACACACACACACACATACACACACACACACACACACACACACACACATATATATATATATATATATATATATATATATGTATACGTATTTGTGAGTGTGTATCTGTACAGAACACACACACACACAAACACACGTATATATATATATATATATATATATGTGTGTGTGTGTGTGTGTGTGTGTGTGTGTGTGTGTATGCATATATATATATATATATATATATATATATATATATATATATATATGTATATGTATATATATATATATATATATATATATATATATGTATGCATATATGTATATATATATATTTAAAATCTTCTAGTACTCTCTCCTACGACAGGTCCTTTTTGGCACCTATTCTCTCCTTGACCCTCTATTATCTGTTAATTCAACATGCCAGTCTTTT